CTGTTATTGACTTCTTTAGATTCGGAAACATCGGTAAACCAAACTAGCCTCATCTTGAACAGCAAGAAAACACCACTAAGCTCAACCCCTTTGAACTCTCTCACACAAGAGCACAGTCATGTTCAATGCCAAAGTGTCAGAGTGCCACACAGACATCAAACCCGATGTTGTTTCTGTGTTAGAGGAGTGCACTGAGGGTATTCAGCTCTATCTCTCTCCACACAGCACTGAAATTTTCTGTTCCATAATGTATTGCTGAAATCTAGCATCCCAAGCACTGTCAACCAGCCTGATGTTCTTAATTTTGATATTTTCCCTCCTGATTCTCTGGGAGACAGTGTAACAAAACAAAACTAAGAGGAAGGATTATTGAACTGAGGAAATCTATCAAGAATCGACAACTGAAAACGAGTAGAGTGCCAAGTTGTTCCATCAAATGGGAAGAAGAGGATGGAAGAACATCACTTGTACCCTTCCCTGAAATGGTAACTTTATAAGAGAAGAGAAAAAAAAGCACATTAATGTGATGGGATTTTAGATTTTTTGGCATTCTGGACCAGAATGGACCATTTACCATGAAAAGTGCTTACAATGTAAATAATGTAAGCATTTTCCATTCAGTGTCCCAATGTTCTTTTTTAAAATAATGAAAAAATATAGTTCTTCATGGTTTCCCCAAGCTGAATTCCAAAGTGCCTCCATCATGAAAACAGAAATCTTTTTTTAATACAGAACTCACTCACTCATACATGTTTAGCAGGCTGAAATTTCTTCACAATAAGAGCCATCAGCACGCACTTTTTGTCATTAGCCCAAACCAGCAGGAGGTCACGAAAGTGTTGGCAGCTACCACTTTCAAAATGAGAGGTAAAATTGTTTATTATCAAAAGATGTTGAGTGACTGAATATTATATTATTTAATACATGATGTCATTAAAGAGTTCCATTAGATAAGTTAATGCCCAACTAATAAGTGGGTCTAAGCTGTCTATTTGCAGGAGGCTTGGAGGGGGGATATAGACAGACAAATAGATGGATGGATGGATGGATGGATGGATGAATAAATTCTTTTAACAAGAAAATACTGAATTGATTATTTTTAGGTATTCTTAAGGTCTAGTTACAGGATTTGGTGACAATGTGCTCAAACAAATTGGAAAACATTTTTCCATCTAATCATAAAAACCTACTACATTTGTGTGATTTCCTGACATGTACTCTTAAGACTTCCAATAAACAGTAACATTATAGGTAGTCTTGTTACTGTAGATTACTTCCTTCTTTCCATGAGCTGCAATTCCTCTGTGAGCCTGCCCTGTACGGCAGCACATTTATTTTGCCTGAGGTACATTTTGAACAAAACATCTGACCTTTAACTACATTGATTTTCTTGGAACTGCAGCTATGATGGCCTGGTGCACTTTTTGGCATGCATCTACAGAGCTGTGTACAGTGGTCATTTTAAAGTGGGATTCATGTCTTTTTAATAGCTTCATGCACAGTAGCTCTCATTTTTACCTACAATGTAAGCTGTGCATGCTAATAAGTGGACATTTAAATAGGTAAATTCAGTAGAAGCCAAACAATAATTTGCATTTTTTTGCAATGTTTTTCTTGTTTCTCATGGAGATAATCAGAAAATAAGTGCAGCATTACTAATAGTAACAATACTTAATAATTATATAAAGTGAATTTTACAGTAAAAAAGTAACATTTCATGTATTCTGAGGTTTAAGTGTTGCACTGATGCAGCAGTATAGCACAGTTATATTACTGAAGCAATACTACTTTCAATATTCAAGGCATTTTTTCTATTTCTTGCCACCCCACAGTGACCAGAGCTATTTTTATCTTAACATATTACTATTAGTTACAAGTAACTGCAGCTTTGCCTCTCTGTGTGAAAGTCTCCGCTGTGGCCTCAGCATGAAGGCCGGAAGAAAAACTGTGCGCAGCCCACAATAGTAGCTAATGATCCGCATAGAGTTAGTCTCTGACCAGCTGGACGCAGCGACAAACAGGGGCTATGGGGAACCAGGGGGAGTGTGCATGTGCCTGTCTCCACAGGCCTGTCTAATGAGGACAGATAGTCCATTGCAGACAAGACCTCCTCCTCCGCTGCCTCCACAAACTGAAAACCCAAAGTGCTAGAGCGCAAGCCAGCCTGAAGCTAGCACACCTGATGCTAACTGCCTTTGATTAATCGCTTTTGCTTGTCCGTTTCATATCATAACTCTGTAAACACAAAAAAGGCCTTCCTGGTGATGAGGAATGCTGGGAAATGGAGTGCGGCGAAGCTTGAACACCTTCAATAAACGCTAGACACTGTTAACGACCCCAGACAGATCCATAAATCTCCCTGCTATCATGACACCTCCTCCAGCAGGCTGCTTGCCAGTGCTAACGTGGATCATGCTAGGCCTGTACAGCTAATCTGAACAAATGCCACTCACCACCAATGTAAAACGGCATCGTGTCGCGGTCCAAACCCACATGCTTGTGTCGAAACCCGAGCACTATCTGGCGCTGGAATCTGATTTGCAATTACACCCTCTGTTCCCATTCCAGAGCATTCTACTCTGAACCTTTATCTGCAGCAGACGGCAAATAGCTTCTGACTCCCAGCCTCGCCTTAATTACGGATGATAAAGAACTCCGGACGGCACGAAAAAGAAAGGAACCGAAACAGCTGGTGTTGAGATAGCACATAAAGTTAGGAGATAAAAAATCCATTTTGTGCGTTCGGGGAGAAAGATGGTGAGATAAATCAGCCAAGAGTGCAATTTTTGCCCTTACTAACTTATTTAGAAAAGAACGTGTTCGGGAGGTTTGGAGGCGAGGCGAAAAGGGAACTCGGAAGCGGATCGTTCTTTGAATCTGGGATTGCTGTGTTCGGCCTGTGAGGAATGCCCCTTAACCTTAATCCTCTGAGAGAGATAAAGCCCCACAGCGGAGATACAGTGCTAAGCGGCCTCTAGAAAGAAGAGGTAAACAGGTCCTCAGAGTGCTGCAACAGAATCAGCCCTTCTAGCAGAGATGAGCAGATAAGGTCCCACGGTCCAAGATAGAAATGATCCTCATGGCGCAGGTCAAGAATGCTCCAGAGGGTGAGCAAGCCTCACAGCAGAGATAGCAGAAAAAACATAATAGGGGGAAGGGAGAAAATAGAGAAGGTGAATGCGGTCCTGCAGAGAAGTCTCTCTTAGAGATGACCATGTCCTACAACTCCATATAAGCACCACTCGAATGGAAAAATTGTAAAGCATTAGCTTTCCACAAAAAAACCTGGCCTAATGTACCAAGTACTAAAAGTTCAGATCTGTACTTTCCACAGAATTCCTAAAATTACAAAATGCCAGTGGTCATTGCTAGTAATCTTTGCACTGTATTTTTGAAAGCAGTGGTGAAGCAGTATAACTGGAGTGATAAAGTTAAACCTTCAAGATGAGTTTGAGGGCTTTTGTGATCCAGAACTAACCATTCAACATCAGCACCTTGCCTCATTATTGCTCTTTTGGCTGAATGCAATCAAAATCAAAGCAAATACCACTGCTGCCTAAAACACAGCTCATAAAAGAACTAATAAAATAACTGATAAGCAATCACTCCATGCCAAAAGAAGAAAATAAAAAGCAATAAGTTAGTCTCTTGAGTAATAATGGATTAAAACTAGCAAAAACGGTTAAATGCATGTAAATAAACTGTACATATACCGTATTCAAACACTGCTGTTATACATTTACCGAAATAGAATATAAATTCACAAAAGCAAATGATCACTTTTATTTCACACATATTTATGTTTATTTTAATGGTTGTTACTGCTACTACTACTGTGTGTCGGAATAACTAGTTGAACTAGTGATACTGTTGAACAATAATAAAAGGCAGCATTTCGAAGAAATTAAATAAACGCAATTTCACAGATTTTGAGACAACATACTTTTACTGTTATTTGGCTGGTCTTGTCTGGCATCCCTGCTGCTGGACGTTTTACCTTACTTTTTCTTTATAGATTTTTATTACAGTGTACATTTGTCTGTTTTGCTCTAATTTGACCCTAAATAAATATATTTTATTCATAAAGTGCTGCATTTTAGATTTATGAGTGAACAAAATAAGCTTCATTTACTCTCAATAATTCAATATCATTATTTTCTTTGTTTAAACTTAAAAATGATGTCATTTCCACAGAGTGACCACAGTTTCCAGCTTTTACCACCATCATCTAGTAAGAGTAACAATGGCTGCAGGTAAATATCATATATACAGTCAATGAGTCTATATATCAAATATATCACATATACAGTCAATGAGTGTATATATATATATATATATATATATATATATATATATATATATATATATATATATATATATATATATCATACATACAGTCAGTGAGTGTATATGCATCATAAAATCATATATACAATCAACTGGTGAATATTTTAATGTGGCCTCTCACTCTTGTTCATTCAGCTCGTGGATTGTTGTTACAGTGAGGATCTCGGGGGAACTAGAGCTCCACTAAGCTGCTGCTTTTGTTAAATTCCTGCTGGTTGATTTGTCCATAGTTCTCTTTCAAGTGTTGTCCAGCATAGTCTGCTGAAGGTGCTGAAAGGACATTTAAAACTTTCTGAAAGACATTTAAAAGCTTCTATCACAGCAACATACAATGCCCTGCAACTGGGCTTCAGCCATCACTATACAGACAGTTCAAAGTAGGAAAATGCTTTAACAGTTATATCAGTGATAACACATTAGCTTTGATGCTACTTCCTAATAGTCATGCTGACACTTTTGTTCAACTGATTCTTTTAGGAATATATTCAAGGACCTTTCACATTCATATATTCAAATATATGTTCATATGAATGCAAATAAAAGTAGGACCTGTTTTACATACTGAGAAAGAGACTTTCCTCCACTGTTAGGAAAAAGACTGTGGTATGTGTGGAAGCAGGTAAAAGTTAGACTTGTCAGACCCCCCCAATCACCTTCTTCTGCTCCCTCCAGCGTCTGCGCAGTTTGATGTCCAGTCTGTGGGCGGCGGTAGCCCACTGAGAGGCCAGCCTGCGGATGCGCCGCTTCATAAAACTCAGAGACTCCTTCCCCGTCCCCACCTGATCCAGCAGAGCACTCAGGTCTGTACGGAACGCAGCCTGTAGAAGAGAAGGAGAATAATGAAGAAACATTCACCAACCGTTCTTAAGAAGAAATTTCATTTTTAAAACCTGTTTACACAGTTTTCACAAAGATTCTGACATTCACCAGTGTTTCCTTGTTTGGGATTTGCTCTTAGATGAGAACAGAATTTTTACACATTCAAGAGCACAAAGGTGTGAACAGTTCTGCGGTTTAAGAACGCGTCATGAATCTGATGGAGACCTTTCTCAAGAACAAATTTAAGAAGAAATTTAGCTAATTAGAAATTAAGGTATTCATGAATGACGCTCAATCTCTTCATTTAATCGCCACAGTTCTGCAAGTGTTAGTCGAACAGCCAAGACATGTTTGGTGTCTAAAGTTTGTGTCTTTATTTTTGCACTGGAGCTGCAAAGCTAATGAAGCTACAACCCCAAATCAGAAAATCAGGATAGAAAATGTAAAAATATAAAAAGAAAGTAGTGAATTCTCAAATTTACTTTGAATAATAGTGCATTATTAAAATATTCAAGGAATCTGTTGGAATCTGGTGGAAGGGCAAGAGCACAAGCCAAAGCTGAGTAACTATGCCCTCTGATAAGGCTTAATGATTAGGAGAAAATACCTCATTGCAAAGTTGAAATGCGATTATTTTCCACATATTAATGTCCAGGATTTCTTTCACCAAGAAGATGAGCAAACAATTTCAAAACTGATGCTTTGTTAGGTTAAATGTGCTCTTATGATACTTATTAACATTGAATAATGTAGAATATAATTAAAATTGCACACAAATTTTAAATATATTGGTGGAACTTCCCTGTAACCAAAAAGAGTGCACACACTTTCACATGCTCATGAGTAAACACACCGAGACACACAGGCAGGTTTTTATTTAGTCTGACAGTCGGAGCGCTGTAGTGCCTGTGGGGCTCCTGTGGGACTGGAGTTTATTTGTCTCTTTGCCGGTCTCACTCTCTCTCTCTCTCTCTCTCTCTCTCTCTCTCTCTCTCAGTAAAACCTTCATTCGCTCTCCTGCACCTTTATGTGCTCCTCTATTGCCCGTATCGTAAACAGCGCTGCTGGCTGATAGCTCTAATCAATAAAAGTCTGTTCAGAGCTGCATGCATGGCTGGAATAAAATTCTCAATAAACGCTTTAGCAGAGAAGTGGAGGATGTGTTACCCACAACAACCCCAATGCAGTTCTGGCATTTTCTTCAACTCCCTCTGTGTGCTCTTTTTTTTTCCTTGTTTCGCTGTCTGGCCCTGAGCTTTAAAGCGATCTTTTCTCTCCATCCTTACCCTGAAAGCAGTCGATCAGTCGAGACATGTTGGTGCACTGCAAAAAAATGGTATCTTATGAAGTACAATTATCTTAAATATAGTTGATAAATCTACTATTTCTCTTGCTGAGATTGTTGTAAGCTTAATATAAAATTATCTAACTTATTTCTAGACATTTAGGTAGTTTTATTAAGTGAAATTGTCTCACTATACTGGCAGATAACATTGCTTGTTCTAAGAAATGTGATTGAAACTGGCAAAATTATCTGCCAGTAAAGTGAGATAATATCACTTAATAAAATGATCTAAAACAGGAAGAAAATGTCTAGAAAAAAGCTAGATAATCTCATGATAAGTGCACAACCAACACTAGGTTTAAGATCTTATCACTTGACAAGATACCATTTTTGTAGTTTGAGGTTTCCTCACGGATTCAAAGTAATTTGTGCAATTCAAAATAAAACCCACTTATGCAGTTTTCACAAAGATTATGATATTCACCAGTGTTTTCTTATTTGGGGTTTGTTCTTAGGTAAGAACAGAATCTACACACACTCAAGAGCACAGAGGTGTGAACAGTTCTGTGCTTTATGAACACGTGATAAATAGTCAACAAACTTAGGTAGATATTGGAGAAGGAGGCCCAGTGTGTTTTTACAAATCAGATGTTCATAAATGCTGAGAACCAGTGCACTATTAATTATTGCCAGTATGTCTGTCTATCAGGGTAACACAGTTTTCACATTAAAAAAACTTTATTCATCATTTTCCTGTGACATCCACAAATCTTAAGATATTTTAATAACAAAGCAAATTACATTTTAAAAATATATTTTTCAGATTACCTGTGCACATGCAAGGTGGATTAATTTATACTATTTTTGATTTTGTTTTATTGCCTCTGTTACTTTATTGCAATTTTCAAAAGAAATGACATTTATAGACTTGGCAGAACTTTTTTATAGGTAAAATTATAGTAAATTTACTGGGGAGTTGCTTTTACGGTTGTTATGTAAAAATACAGGAGATTACACCTATATATGTTTTATTGTGTTCCGAGTGGCTATTAAGTCACTTTACAAAACGGATAGTTTTGATCCTAAAATCTGATTGGCTGAGCTGCTTTCGAAGCCATTGTAAAATCCACAATATATGCGCACCTATGACCGCCTCACAACAACTGAAAAAACCCTTAGTGGAATAATCTTTGACTCTAATGCTGCTTGCATCGACCACCAAGTGTACTGATGAAGTAAGAACACATTTTTTGTTTGAAGTGAGGGGCTGGCAACTTATGTTCTTAACTAGAACTAGGCTGGTCAGCTAGCTAACAGGCTAAAAGATAGCCAACAGCCTAAACAACTCCATCTTTAATATCACAGGCTTTAATTAAAGCACATACATTATGATTAACTGTAAAACGGCAGTATAAACGTCTAAAAAATGTCACTTGAATGGATTACATGCTTTAAATGTTGGTGTTTCAGTCAGAAGTCGCGTCAAACCCAGGCTGAATCCCAAACAGCTCTGTACTCCCTAAATAGTGTGCTAGCTATGAAAGTTTGGAAATTCTAGCCTCTACAGCCAAAGAGTGCATCATTTATCGAATGTGGATGTTTCTGAGTCCCAAATGATTATTTCTTAGCTATATTTTGCACCGTTAGGGTGCAGAACTCAATATGTAGGGAGTAGGGAGACATTTGAGATTCAGGCCCAGCATGAGAAGAGACACGCTGCTGGATTGGTGCTAAATAAGACTTGCAGTGGTAATTTGGTGAGCAAAAAAAACGTATAAAGCGACATCATATGTTATCATATGTTTATTGTTATACGACAAAAAGTAAAAAAAAAATCACGAAAATGACCACAATATACAGCAATGGACGACTAAATGTTCTCGTCTTTCAATGGTCCATGGTTGCTTAGCAACGGCACTGTACTCAAAAGGAACTACATTTCTTGGCAGAATACTTGTTCATGTCAGTTATTATAAATAATAACAAATTATTCTCTGAAAAATTTAACACCCTTTCCCATGATAAAATCAGCCTCTTGTGGCTCATTGCTTTAATATGCAGTTGCTATTTTACTGTTATGCACTAATAATATGGTTCAGTAAATTACTCTGAAAGTAATTCAGCTACTAGCCAGAAATTTACTGTCAGCCAAATGTTTTACATTGTAGCATAAATTCCCATTTGGATTGTTTTTTACAAACCACATGTGGGAACTTCTAAGGAGGAGGTAGCAAAAACATTTATTAAAATAAAGCCTAAAACTTGACTGAAAAAAGATGCAGATGAAAGTAGTAGTAAATGTATGGCATATAATGTGCTACTCCCTTGACTAACATCAGCATGTATGTATTTATGTATGTATTCTTTGGATTTTCATTTCACTCGGCTCCAATTTTTTCACAATAGACTATTCTGCAGTCTTTCTGCTTTAGGTAATGATCTCCAACAGTCACCACAGATCCCGTGGCTTTTCTGCTGAATCCTGGGTGTGGATTTTTGAGTGACTTTCAAAATGTATCACCAGCACGAAGGTCTAACTAGCCAACCTTTTTTAAATTCATAGATTAAAATTTAGATTTTTAGGTAGTGAAGTTAAAGTGAAAATGCAGTTACTACAGTGCATGTTATATAGTGTCAAAAACTTAGATGTCTTTACAGTGGTGGTGATAGGTATCAGGGGTCGCCATGACTGCAACACAAACATGGCCATTTTATTTACTATCTAAAACCACCAGTGAACCTACACGTCTTCTGGGTTTTATATGGAATGTTGATGATGGTAAAATAGTGGTAAATCTGAAAAAAAGGCCAAAATTGTATTGTAAAACAATGTCTCAGACATCAGTGTATTCATAACTATTTTATGTAATAACTTTCTATGAGAGAGCTTTTAGGGGTAGGGCTGAACGATTTGGAGGAAATACCTCATTACGATTTTTCAGGCCAATATTGCGATTGCAGTTTAAATGCAATTATTTTCTACATATTAATGTCTGGGCTTTTTTTCACCATGAAGACCAGCACATCCGTTTTTTCAAAATATTTCAAGATGCTTTGTTGGATTAAATTTGCCCATGTTTTTGGCAGAAAAGCCAGATTTCGTAACTTTTTTGCCAAATTCCGAATGTGGATTTTTGGGTGACTTTAAAAATGTATCACCAGCAAGTAGATCTACCTAGCCTACTTTTTACTACAATCATTGATTAAACTATAGATTTCTAGGTAGATGATTAAATAAAGGTGATTTTACTTTCAACAGGCACCAAACAGAGAACATTTTTCATGTATTTGTCAAAGAACTTTTTATATTTATGTTTTTCAAAATGCTTAAATGTCGATGGCTTATTACGCTGACCTCTAAAGAACTGACCACACACACACTTATATTACCACCTTTATGTGGTATCCATTGATCAAGTTTACATCAACTACATTCTTCTGTATTTAGTCATATGAATGTAATTTTTAATACTCTAATTTATTAGGATCTATATTCATCTGCATTACTGAATAATTCACAGTAGTTACACAATAATTTGCCAGAGACACAGAATTATTCATAATAGTTACTGAATAATTCATAGTGGTTGCTGACTAATTTTTCATAGATAGAGAAAAATTCATAATAATTAGTGAATAATTCATAGTAGATAGTGAATGGTGTCCACAACAGGAGACAGCATCTCTTTTATATACACTATATGGACAAAAAACACTGGGACACCTACACATTACACCTACAGGAGCTTTTCTGACATCCCATTCTAAATCCATAGGCATTAATATGGAGTTGGTCCCCCTTTACAGTTATAACAGCTTCTACTCTTCTGGGAAGCTTTCTACGAGATTTTGGAGTGTCTGTGGGAAATTTTTGTCTGTTCATCTAGAAGAGCATTTGTAAGCTCAGACACTGATCTTGGACGAGAAGATCTGGCTCACAATCTCTGTTGTACACAAAACTCACCCAGCCATGGCTTTATAGACCTTGCTTTATGCACTGAGCCTCAGTCATGCTGGAACAGAAGTGGCCCTCCTCCAAACTGTTCCCACAAAGTTGGAAGCATTCAAATGTCCAAAATGTCTTGTTATGCTGAAGCATCAAGATTTCCCTTCACTAGAACTAAGGGGCCTAGACCAACCCCAGAAAAACAACCCCACAGCGTTATCCCTCCTCCACCAAACTTTACAGTTTGCACAATGTAGTTAGGCAGGTAATGTTCTCCATGCAATCGCCAAACCCAGACTCGTCTATCAGACTGCCAGATAGAGAAGTGTGATTTGTCACTCCACACTCCAGAGCCCAGTGGTGGCATGCTTTACACCACTCCATCTGATGCTCGGCATTGTTCTTAGGCTTGCGTGTAGCTGCTCGGCCATGGAAATCCATTTCATGAAACTTTTAACATGCAGTTATTTCGCTGATGTTGCTTCCAGAGGTAATTTGGAACTGTTTAGTGGTGGCATCCTATAACAGTGCCAACTCTGAGCTCATCAGTACGCCCCATTCTACTGCCAATGTTTGTCTATGGAGACTGCAAGTTAGCAATGGGTGTAGCTGAAACATGTGAAATCAGTAATTAGGAGGCGTGTTCCAATATTCTGTCCATAAAGTGTAGTTAAGGTGGAAAAAAGTCATGAGAACATAAGAACTAAGTGCTTTTGACCAAGATGACCTTACATGCACACAAACACACACACACACACAAATACACACACACACACACATAAACACACACAAAGTGTAAAAGCATGAACACTGTTGCGTGACTTTGGAGTCAGGATGGAATACAAGCTTCATGTCAGGGAATTGTTTCTGAAAGCTCTCACACACACACACACACACACACACACACACACCCTGTGTGATGCAGAAATCAGCCTGGAACACATTTCTGTAAATAGCACCAGAGATGCAGGCAGCATCAGGAATTACAGTTACAACTCATTAATGCAGCACAAAGAGCCATAAAACAAGAGGCTTCTGTGAGTGTGTGTGTGAGAGAGAGTGAGAGAGCAAGAGAGAGAGAGAGATGGAGACCAAAAGAAGTGTGGAGAACAAATATTAACAATGAATGTAAGTTACTATTACAATATTTTTAAGAAATATAGTAAACCAAGGTCAATGCTGAATGATCAATCAATGAATATCATTATTAAACCTTTAATGCATAATTACATAATTATTATATAGTAATTACACAATAAAGTACATTATGCACTTTTTTCCTCCACTTTACATGTCTGTAAGCTGCAGGTGAGAAACAGTTAAGACAGAAATTCAATCCTACAGCAGAAAAGAGGCTAATGATAAAGGCATGACTCCCTCACCTGTCGTTTGGGTGGGTTTTTCTGTAGCACAGGTGGGCTGCTGTGGTTTCTCCATGCTAGTGGTGGGCAGAACCACTCCACCTCACTTAGGTAGATCAAGAATGAGCAGTCCGAGCCATCCACGCCGTAGAAGGCATAGCAGGGGTCTGAGGTCCAGCGGGACCGCATCCACTATAGCAGCCAATCAAAGCCACAAAATCAGTACAAAGTACAGCTGGACACTGATTCAAACACAAACAGATGCTTGATTGCAGAATAACATTTACAGTAATTTTGGAACTGTACACTTTAAAAAACTACCGAGAAAAAAAAGAAATTACATCATGTGATGACCATCAATTGACTCAACTCAAAAAATTGCATTGGTTAAAAGAATTGTTTGTTGTATTCTAGAATACTGTACACAGTTTTTAAATGAGCCCCACTGAAAATGATGCCATACTCTTCATAGGCAATGATAATAAATAAATTATTTTTTAATATTATTTATGAAATAATAAATAAACTACGCTACATGATTTTTTGCCCAATTTTAAACCCAATTTGCCCCTCATGACAAATTTTGTTTTTAATCTGAAGCAATTTTCCAGGTCAGGAACTCAATCAGAAGAGACTGGCGGTGGTGACAGAGGAGCTGCATGTAAATCACCGGCAGATAAGAGCCGATATCATGTTTATAATGTTTGGATCCAGACATCAAAGCACTCTCTTGACAATTTCAGCTCAGCTGCCAGTTTGTAGTGAATTATTTCTCCAGCTCACAGTGTGATCTCAGCATTTCTTGACCCCATAATAATCCCCAGTTTGCACTTTTGCTTTGCATATAAGCACAAACAGGTCAGGTCTAGTAAGTTTAGCTGTGTTTGTGTCATGTGATCTGAGGAGATCTGGGAGTACACCCAGCCTAAATAAATAGTGCCTTGTCCATCTTATCTGCAATCACAGGGCGTGAACCCCCCAGATACTTACGTCCACTTTTCCCGGGCAGTCCGGGAAGTGTGGGTCTCTGGGAACATCACACTGACCTGATGTCCCATCTCTAACAACTGCAGAGAGAACAACGATAAAAGACACAGAAAACAACAAATTATAATGAGTGGACCGGAATGATTAGTACACTAGTTTTTATTTATATTTATTCATCTTTAGGTTTTTATTTTGCTTTTTAATTCCCGTTTAGTTTCTGTTACTTTTATAAATGCATCACAATAGTTTTAGTTTAGTTTCAATTGAATTTATTTATTTATTATTATTTATTGCATTATGATGAATATGTTGAGAAATTGGCACATTATTCCGAATGAAACTCTGTCATTACTTTCCACTGAAGTTTTGTTTCTAAATTAACACAACAATAGATCATGTTTAGCTGAACTGGCCAATTACATATAATATTGTGTATTATGTTGTGTTATATATATCGCTGTTGTCAGAACAAAACCTTGTATCTCCAAAATGGTAACTTTACAGGAGAAAGAAAAAACCTACTTTACTTTTAATGTAAATCAATGGAACCAGGCATTTTTCCAAGTAATTTTGGGCTATTTCTGTTGGTCCATTCATCATCAAATTTGCAGATAATGTCAAGAACAATAGGCACTTTCAAACTATGGCAAAAACTGAAAAACTGACATACAAAGTATGTCCGACAGCAGCAATATATATATATATATATATATATATATATATATATATTCCTATTTTTTATGTGGTTATTTGGTCAGGGGTGTCACCACAACTCGACAAATTGACTAAAACTATCTTTCAGTATGTCGATTCATGAACTAAGCTTGGTTTGTTAGAACACCTCAGGTTCTGATGAGAAAACATTTGCCAGCTAACATCTCTGAAGAACATCAGGTCTTAGTGTTATGTGTGTCATGTGATGGCAGGAATAAACAATATTCAAACAACGTAAATGTGCATGCGCATAAATTAATTTACCAGATTATTGAGCTGCAGCAAATATGGTCAAAATGTAGAATAACCAACTGTTAAAATCCATGATCCATTCTCTAAGAAAATAACACAACAAACATGAAAACATATTCAAAGTATTGTGTAAGGTGTTGTTATTCAGTTTATCTGTCATTTGTTGTTAATGTCCTTTTTGTATGCAACTGCTGTCTTTGAAAAAGAGGATATTATTTTAATGCAGTGCAGTTGAAATTACAGAGCTACAAGATACACACACACATACTAAACATCCAGCGCCATATGCAGTAGCTTACTCTCTCTCTCTCTCTCTCTCTCTCTCTCTCTCTCTCTCTCTCTCGCTCGCTCGCTCTCTCTCGCTCGCTTGCTCTCTCTCTCTCTCTCTATGGGGCTGAAGTCAGCGCATTAATTGCTCCACTGAGTTAGCTAACTGCTCGTCAGTGTGTTAGCGTGCTAGTGGCCAGCGGGCAGCCTGCCTCCGGAGCAGGAGAGCGGAGATTGATGAAGGAGATGAAGCTGAACATCTCTACTCCTACTGCGGCCTCCATTTGGCTAATGAGAGAGTGCAGAGAGGAACTTTAACACCATCCCCCAACACACACACACGCAACCCCACCACCTCCAAACTCTGCTAGCACTCAGAAACAACCGCATCAAATCAAATCCACTTATACAGAAAGTACAGATAACACAGAGAGCAAACCTGATGCTAAAAATTCACCCTTAAACATGTTATGCATCGCTGAGCTGTCTGCAAACTATTTAAATGGTCATATACTTTCATTGGTCACTTTATCAGAAACCCCTCAATTGTAGCTCCATCTTGCTTGTGTACTAGTAGAGACTGTAACCCACGTATAACCTCAGTTTTCACTGCTGTGGACTGAAGATATGTCAATGAGTGTGTTTACATGCACTTAATAATCCAATAACTGCAGATAATTAGATTTTGTCAGTATTCCGATCAACACATTTACATGCACTTGAGTAATCAGATAATGGGAAACTACAGGTCCACATGAGTCAGACAGTAATCAGGATTTCTTTGCAACCAGCCAATAAACTCACAGAAGAAGATGTGACACAAGTGTAATGTAAAACTCAAATTTCATGCCGTGCCTTTTTTTAACATCACACCACTTTATCTGAAAATATGAATGTGCATCATCTAGAAGATGATGAATATTTAAATCTTACATTTCATCAAGCATGTATTTGGTTTCAGCAACACTCCAAAAGTGTTTTGCTGCCATTTTGCAGCAATGCTGCTGACTTATTTCCAGTACCGTGGCCTGTTTTCACAGATGTACAGACTGAGAATCTGAAAGAAATCAGAGTAAGAGTTTACATGAACTAAGAAATCTGATTACTAAGCTAAAATCCAGCCTCTTTATCAGATTTCTTAATCAGATTTCTAGACCTTACTCCGATCTGAGAAATCAGAGTGTTTTGTTAACATCACCATTTGAATAATAAAATAACGTCAGAAATCGGATTATGATACAATTACTGAGTGCATGTAAACACACTCAATGTGATGGTTTTTGTGACATCATCAAAACAGCTAATTTAAACAGGCAGCTTAGTTTCCATATACAGTCTGTGTGGACTGTGAAATGAATGGTATGTGTTAAAACTTTACGTTTACATACACCATCAAAGTCTTTTATTTAAAAGATAAGAAAAATTCTGTTTTCCATGATAAGGGCATTGTGTTTGTTGCTTTTTCATTTCTTCACGGAAGTATCAGAGATGTTCTTATGTAGTACAATAAACTACAAACACACATATACTTGTGAATAGAATGTGATATATGGACGATATATGATATATGGACAAATGCTTTATTTATTAATCATTGTACACTTTATAAGGTAACAATGATGAATTTAAGGACATGAACAACTTAGATTTTAAAACAAGCTCTGCTCCAACGGCTTTGTTTTCTGTCATTTTTGTGTTGCTGTTTCTGTTTTACCCACAGAGAACTGTGGGTAACCGAAGGCCTGGAAGCATACATCTGTTGCTTCCTCGAACTCGCTCAGAATGTAAGCTGCATTTCTAGGCTGTATACAAAGGATCCTTCACTTTGGAATAGCCTTCTATGACATAGCAACCAAGAAATGCAGCCTAGGCTTTGTAACGCAGCAGCCGTCTAATTTTAAGGGATAAATAGAGGTTGGAAAATAGCCACATGAGAATGAGTTATGACGTCTTTTGTTACATAAAATCACACAAACACTATTAGTGGAGCTCAAAATAAAGAATAAATTACAGGTAAAATGTAGGATATGGGTCCTTTAAATGATTCATACTCTGAAACCACATTATGTATCTATATAGGGTAGGATTCAGGATATTCAGAATTCAGGATATTAATGAACGGCCATAGGTAGCCCCTCAGGAAACGTCTTTTAGTTTCAGGAAATGTCAGGAACTCCTAATATTGGCGTTCTCCATTAAAGCACTGCCTCTGTGATTGCTGGAGGGAGTGCTGGACTCAGATTCAAAGCAGTGCTTCCTGAAGCCCATCAGGAGAACAGAACAAAATTTACATCCACTGAGAGGGCCAGAGGATTTTTATAGTTTGATTAAGTCAGGATGTTGGACATTGACTAAATCAATAGCGTCTGAGCCGGCAATAAAATGTAAATGTGAATAAAAAACAGGGTTTAAATCCTCCGGCATGCCGAACGCACTCTGCTTAATTTGGTTTTACTGCCGGCCGTCTGCTATTCATTTCCCACTTCCATGGATTTCCAAACCAACAAATCTCAGGATGTGCGTCACAGCCGAGCTCGAGATGTGCATTTCTATAAGACCAATAGTAGCTCATTTTGACAAATGTGACCGATTTCTGTGAAAATTAGTTAAGCAACCATGTGAAACTGCCACATTCTTATCTTCAGCCTCTGTAGAAAGCTGATCTAATCAGATGCTGTGGAGCTGCATATCATCTTATAATCCTGAGAAGTCACCTTACGTCCCATGTTGCATTGCTTCAAGCATTGATGCTGTGGTGTGTATGTTTGTGTGTTTGTTTTTTAAACATTTTCAGGACTGGTTAAGAAAACAAGAGAAGAACTACAAAGAAATGCTACAAAATGCTTTGTAAAAGTGCTTTTTACTAAAGCTCCATGTTTCTTTTTTTTGAAAATGTAAGAGCAAAACTGTATCTTTTTGGTTCCTGGGGTTTAGATTAGAATTAGGTTTAGGACTGAACTTTAAAAAAACCTTAATACATTTCGATGCTTACATATATATATATATATATATATATATATATATATATATATATATATATATATGGTACTGTGCCAAAGTCTGAGAGCACCCTTCATTTTCTTTTCCTGGCAAAACAAATATTAAATACAAAAAATATAACATAATCCACTTGTTTTAAGAACGTCAAAATAAAATAAGTGAAAAAAAAAATCAGGAGTATCCAAACCTGGAGCTCAAAAGCTGATTGAGACTCCTAACATCCACCTGGAAGACCAAGTAGACACCAAAACAGCCCCCATCAGATAAGAGATTTGCAAATCAAACAAAGTAACTGCTGGTGTTCTGGACTGACCACCCCAGAGTCCAGACTTCAGCATCACTGAATGTGTTTGATTACTTCAGAAAATGATCAACCAACTTCTAAGACTGAACTTTGGAGGCGTGTCTGCAGATTTCTTTGAGAAACTGAAAGTAAGTCTCCTGAAAAGAATGAAGGCTGTAATTTTTTTCTGACATAGAAAAATGAACAACTATATATGTATATATGTGTGTGTGTGTGTGTGTGTGTGTGTGTGTGTGTGTGTGTGTGTGTTTATTGAATGGTACCTCTGGATGCCGCCATGCTATTCTGAAAAATCTGCTCCACTCGAACCGCCATATTGGACACGTTTTGGGCGATGGCCTGGATTCTCTCCACCAGTCCAGCTGGCTGGATCCTAACACACACAAACACACACACACACACACAGGTCAGTATTGTTATGTCATCTTGGATGTTGTGATGATGTCAGCAGGGGTTAAATTGGTCTTGAGTGCACTTTTGGTCTGTGTGAGCTGTAAATAGCGCTGAGCTCCAGTCCTGCACTTTGATTGATATTTAAAGTGTTTCTAAAACAATCTTTATGAAATTCATGAACTGTGTACCAACTTCAGTTTTATCAGTGTATTTTCACAAAGGTGTCTTACTAGTGACAGCCCATTTTCTCATGTTTAACAGGATGAGGGTATTCAAATTTGCATGACCTGCTCATTTTCCAGCAAAATGTCTCTGATTCTAACTGGAGGTGTATAATTATTATGAAAGTCCTTACACTGCATCTGCAAAGGAAACGGCAACTTTCCTAACTTTCACCTAGCTGTAGTGGTCAGCCTATTTTGTGACATAGTAAGCAAAGTTTTGACTTTATATGTTTCTGTAATGTGACTACATTTACACAGCATCTTTATGAAGGTGCTGTGAAATTACAGAATGTATTCATATATGGGATTAATCTTATAACACAAACATTCCTATCTAACTATGCAAAAGTTACACATTAAAATAAGTGCACATTTCTGGTGTAGTTGTGTAGTTACAATGATATTACAGATTATATACTGTTTTTGGGGTACTTTTGGGGTAATAAATTACATTAAAAATGATGTTGCTGTGTAAATACAGTCACATTAAATACACACACATTCTTATGACACAAATGCAGGTAGCTAAATGTTAGGACAGCTGGTGTTTGCTGTACAGATGCAGGGTAAGTACCAGTAAGAAGTATTGTTAGAGCAGTTCACCCTATTACACATGTGATTACACAAGAAGAAATATGTTATTACAACTATCAAGATAAATTGAATTAATGTAATTAAATAAGTAAAAACTGAAGACGATACACATGTGTTTACATAAGCTATACTACAGTAATCCATGTGTAACAGTGAATACATCACAAGTAGATACATTGTTATTGCAAGCATTATTCATTTATAACTACACAGTAATTACAGAGGTACAATATAAAGTGGGACCTAAATTTTATTATTCAAAAGCTGTAGTTAATCACACACATGACCTTCACAGCTTTTAAGAATTTAGCTTCATTATTCAAATTTCTATTTGCAGCTCCAGTACAGACAAAACTCCTCATGACTTTTCAGTCTGTTGAGCAGCAGAATGAACTCTGACAATTTACACCTTGTAGCTTCTCAGTGCCCTTGACTCTCTCTCTACATCTACATCTCACTCTCTCACTTTGTACCTTCTCATATTCCCTCATTGCATCTTATTTCTCTCTCTCTCCTGCTAAAAACAGTCAGAAGTGCTAACAGGCAGTAGAGATGCTAATTGCGAGGCACTTGGATGGAGCGTGAAATAGAAAAATCCCAAAAACCCGCCAATACAATTTAGCCTTAGCGTTTCTCCACACATTACAGCGAGTGAATGGAGCTGGATCGTTAGCGGAGGGTTGTAATAGCGGCAGAGCGAGTGAAGGCGCTAACAGGAGCCTATTGAACATGCATCGTTAGAAACACTGAGGGCAGCAACAAGCCTTTAGCAAGAGCTAGTAAATGTGTATGAGCTAACCAGCCTGAGTTCACCATCACAGTCACTTTGGACAATACACCGTAAAACATTTCACTGTAAAATGACAATAAATTACTGGCTGCAACTTGATTTACATTTACAGTAATGTACTGTACCATACTAACAGTAAATAATAGTAAGATTACCATGATGTAGCTGTTTTCTTTTACACTTACAGTAATAAACTTGTTATGAGTTGTTTTTACATAACAACTGTAATGCAAAAGTAATGCAACTCATCCAGTAATGTTCTGTAAGTGTATATACTTGCAGTGTTCATGCATATGAAGAACAAACAGCATACAATCCTAAATGCTTTTAAATTGGAATTACTTAAGGCAAGACATTACAGGTGGAAATGACTACTGTTCAGATTTTTGGACAGATTCTATTTTGTGCCATCTCTTTAACTATCATTTAAAACAAAAAAGTTAAAATTAAACAAAAATACATTTATCTTAAAGTACTTATTTTATTCACTAAAATGTTTTCTGAAATCTCATATCAGCTCTAAGGCTTATTCTTGAGCTCTAAGGCTAATTTTATCTCAAAATCAGCTTTTCTCTATGTTCAGAGCCACAAATATCTCACGTATAAATCTCTCTTATGTACTCACTCCTAACCCTATTCTGAAGGACATTTCAGAAAGATATCCTATCACTAATAGCTGAAGTTATGCTGGATTTTGTACTACAACATACATTGAAAAATGCTCTGTGATTACAGACCATAGTGTTTTCTTAATTAAATAATAATCTAATAAGATTTCAGTAGTCTTTTTATTAAAATCCTAGATTTTTGGTTCCTAAAAATATGCAAATGTATGCAAATTTAAGCAGAGAAGTGTCATTTGCATATCTATACTGTCATGGCAGGCCCAAGCAGTGGCCCCAGCTCGTTATATCAGATCTGCCCCAGAGCAGCCACGTGCTCTCCAAGGTGCTGAAACCCCATAAAACGTGGTTCAGCACCAGTATTGCGCATGGCAGAGCCATGTGCTGTGGAAAAGTGGTTCTCTGGACAGGGCCGTCTAACTCTCCACAGCTGAAGTGATGAGTGACAGTTGGCATTGGGGAGGAGATACAAAAAGACCTTTCACACCACTAAGCAAGTGAGCAGTAGCTGTCCTGCAGCAGATTTATCCAACGTCGATGGGTCCCAGGACCATGTACATTGCCACTCAATAATAATAATAATAATAATAATAATAATAATAATAATTTTATTTATATTGCACTTTTCATGCCAGTGGCAGCTCAAAGTATTCAAGATGCTGGAGTAAAATCTTGTGGTCAACGGTATCAAAGGCTGCGCTAAGATCTAATAAAACCAAATTAGAAGGATTTTGTGCATCAGCGCTGAGCCTGAGGTCATTCATAACGTGAATCAATGCTTTCTCTGTACTATGGTTAGAACGAAAACCTGACTGAAACTTCTCATATAAATTGTTTGATATTAGATACGTATTTAGTTGTTTGAAAGCAACCTTTTCTAAGACTTTACTTAGAAAAGGTAGGTTTGAAATCAGTCTAAAATTATTTAGTATGGAAGGATCCATGCTACTCAAGAGCCGTCCTCTGCCATCGCAGCCACTGCAGCACACTTCCAGCCTTTATTCTCCACTGAAATGTGAATACTTCTGGTTGTAAATCAAATTTGTGGATTGTTTTCTTGTACTCTCTGGAATGGTTGCATTTTTCCTGAGGTCTAGTTTCTCACAATATGTCTTTTTTCCAATCTTCCAATACAAAAACATACTTGCAAGAATATCAGTAATAAACTGGAAAAAATCACTGTGATACTGGTTTAAAAATGTAGCCTACTCACATGTCGTTCTTTGCCTTATTCCATTTTGTTATTATTCTTAAAAGCTACGCTGTGTAAGTTTTGGGGATTTGGAGACCTCTCTGGTGAAAGTGTGTAATTGCGTGCAACATGCTAAAGAACATTTTATAATGTGGGTTAATTGTGAGTGCATTGAAAGAGTATTCAAAGGGAACTCTGTCAAAACTTGGTGAATCTTCCTTTCTCATTATTCTTTTCTATTCCTTCTTTTCTTTTTTTCACATCTGAAATCTGTGACTCATTCCTTTCATATATTACATGACATTTTCTTGTGTTGCTAGTACCACATATCTTTAGGCAAAATCAAATCTATTTTGCAGTACAAACACAAATATGACGATACAGAATGGAAATTGAATGTGATTTATTATGTACCTATGTAATTAGTTATTATAATTGCATTTCAACAGCATATCAATATGACAGTACTAACTCTTAGCCATCCTCATTGCATCAGGTGAAATATGGCTTGGAGCAAAGGAATGACCTGCTATAATCAGCCTCACCCCCATCACACAGAATGACCAGTTACAGCACTGTCAACCGCCCCACAAAAGACGCTATCACACGTTATTAGGGATCACTTGAGGGTCAGTTATTACAGAGCTGCTAGTCGACCTTGGGGCATTTGAAGGTGCCATAAAAGCTAAGCAATCATCCTGTCCCCTCAGAGTGGATTACTGCCCCCAGCCCCAAATCCCCAGACACCATCTTACCCATCTCAGCCCAGTGACGCCTCGCCAATCCACCGGCGAATTAATGTCACACCAACAAGGACATTCATCTCTCTGTCTGATGAGCTGTCTCAGCCTGGTCCTCAATGTGTCCATTTCTATACCCACACGTCTAATTACCACTTAACCCTCCTAGGCACCCCACAGCGTCTACACCCTGAGACACGTCCTTTCATATTTTGTTTAATTGTTTCTCACTTGTAGTTCTGTAGAAAGTGTAGAAACTTTCATACCACAGTTGTTTTTGTAAGTAGATTTATTAGGATCTGACTTTAAGTGTTTAAGTGCTAGTGTTACACTCTTAAAACGACAGTTCTTCAAGGGTTCTTTAAGAAAATGGTTCTATATAGAACCATGAACACTCAAAGAACCCTTTGTATGAGTAAAGGGTTTTATGCATTGCAAAAGGGTTCTTCACATTGATGGAGAATGTGCTGTAGATGGTTCCATAGAGAACCTTTTTAAAAAGGTATTACATGGCACCAAAAGGGTTCTACTATTGTTAAAAGAAAAAAAAAACTTTTTTGGTACTATATAGAATCCTTTTTGCAGAGAGTGTAGTGTGTGTACAGTATTGTTTAGAAGAAAGAAAACAATCCATTATATTTATTTAATAGCAACAATGACAAAAAGAGCTTGTACAGTTCACTCAAGTGTTCGAGGTTGAAGCAAAAATTCTAAGTTTCAGTGTTTTTTCATCTGATGATGAGCAGCAGAAAACAAGTTTGTACAGTCAACAAAAGGATAAACTTTGTCATACGGAGGAAAAGAACCTGTGTTAGCA